TCTTTGGGACCAACTGTCCCCAGGCCTAGTTTCTAGTAGGGAGAAGCTAGGCCTCTCTGGTCTGCTATCCCCGCCCCAAGGGGGCTAATGGGAATGGCAGGCTTGTGAGCTGCAAGCTCGGGCTCAGGCACCTACCCTACCCTAGAAGGGCTGGGCATGGTGTCGCTGGGTCTCTTTTTACACTTCCGCCCATATCTTTCACTCCATTACAGAATGTTGTTATGCTAGTATGCAGATTTGGGGCTAGATCCTCTAGTATCTTCATATATATGTTATCGCATGTTTCTCTCGCTCTCTCTCCTTAACAGCTTTACTATCTCTTCCGCCTGGGAAGAAGCTGTCAACTCCTAACAAAAGCACAAACTATTTGGCACCATTGGCACACAAGTCATAAAATATAAAGAAATTAGGGACGCTTTGGTCCTTTCTGGGACCAAAGCGTAAATGATTTGGTGATACCGACACTAAAGAAGAACACTTGTGTACAGCTCAGGATACTCATTATTGATGAATCAACTGTTTGTATATTCACGGAGAAGCTCCAATTTCTTGAATCAAGATCTCTCTACCAGCATCAGTACACCTTCCTTCAAGGATCGCTTTTGATATTGATCTGGGAATAAATCATTGTCTAGTATAATTTCTATTTTGTGAATTATTGCAGCCCAGGTATTGTGGGTTATGAATTGTTGCAGCCAGGGTATTATGGGATGTGAATTGTTCCAGCCAATCCCTAGGTACCTTCCCCTCTTTCACACATTTATTAAAAAGTACCAACCACTCCAACACTATATCCCCCCCCCTGCTTTTAACATTTCTGCCATGATCCCATCAGTTCCAGCTGCTTTACCCCCTTTCATTCTACGTAATGCCTCACGTACCTCCACCACACTTACATTCTGCTCTTCTTCACTCCTAAAAGATGGTATACCTCCCTGGCCAGTGCATGAAATTACCGCCTCCCTTTCTTCCTCAACATTTAAAAGTTCCTCAAAATATTCTCGCCATCTACCTAATACCTCCCTCTCCCCATCTACTAACTCCCCTACTCTATTTTTAACTGACAAATCCATACTTTCCCTAGGCTTTCTTAACTTGTTTAACTCACTCCAAAATTTTTTCTTATTTTCATTAAAATTTCTTGACAGTGCCTCTCCCACTCTATCATCTGCTCTCCTTTTGCACTCTCTCACCACTCTCTTCACCTTTCTTTTACTCTCCATATACTCTGCTCTTCTTATAACACTTCTGCTTGTAAAAACCTCTTATAAGCTACCTTTTTCTCTTTTATCACACCCTTTACTTCATCATTCCACCAATCGAAGATTGAGACACTTATGCAACATATGGGAATCTTTATTCAGGAAACGTTTCGCCACACAGTGGCTTCATCAGTCCGATACAAAGTAGAAAGGCGTAAGGAGAGGAGGAGTTGAGGTAATCAGTCCCTCGGCCTGGAGTCGATGTGTTCAGTCCATCAATCTTGTAGAATGTACAGCATAGGGCCGTAGACGTGGCTTATATACTGTAGTGAGGTGAGGCGAAGCAGGAGGAGGTGAGGTCATAGTGGTACCACCCACTAGTCGAAGTAGGTCTTCGTCCAAAGGTTGGACAAGTGTTGAAGAATTCTTTGTAACAAGATCCCAACACTTGTCCAACCTTTGGAAGAAGACCTACTTCGACTAGTGGGTGGTACCACTATGACCTCACCTCCTCCTGCTTCGCCTCACCTCACTA